AATGTACTAATATATTGGAATGCAGTCAGTAAGATAACCTGTTTCCGTTAGTATTTAAACGGCATGGCTCATTGGCTTCACTCAGCCAGCCCGCATAGCTCAATCGGTTAAAGCGCGAGACTTGTAATCTCGAAATTGTGGGTTCGATTCCCGGGCTGGCCAACTAAATTTACTAATCAGTCTTTCGGATGAGACTTTAAATCGAGGTCCCGTGTATGAGTGCTTCAACACTTGGCACGTTAAAGAACCAGGAGAAGGTTCTGGAACTGGGGCATCTTTCTGTATCTTGCACTATCCTCCAAAATCTAAAATGACCAATACTCTTCTGGAGGACTCGACCATATGTGCAACCGGTGGCGGGTATTTATAAACGCAAATACACACACAAAAAGATTGGCTTCACTTGTACCTTGCCGGTCTTGTCAGTTTTTACGCCTTTTATGAAAAACACGCATCAGTGTAAAACTAATTAGTTAACACTTTTGTCTTCTCGATTGAATAGACCGAATTAATGTCTTTGAAGTAAATTTGTGGAAAATAACTTTGTGATCGGTCTTATATTTAGTGAATATGGAACAATGAACCGTTACAATATTTTGCACACTGTATTACTACGGACATTCAAACAGTTTTCAAACAATTTTATAAACATTAAATATTTGTCGAATGGTATAATATATTGTGTAAAATGTTTGAGTACTCGTTCTGTAAATATTTGTTGTTCTCAATAGAACAATTGCTTTTGCAGAGTATGATAACTTATACGCGTTAACACATAGTGGGCCAATATTACGTGCTGCCGTTGGCTGTCATTTGCTGATTTTAGTACATGTTGTAGAAAAAAACTTCATCATTACATACACACTGGACGAAGACGTGCCGCGACTGTGTTAATCTATCAAATTGGACGTTGTTTTTATTAAAGTTTTTTTTGCGTAAATTATGCCTTGGTGATACAATATCATAGTCTTGAAGCTCTAATGGTTTTATTAAATATAGTTAATGGCATATACATTTGCAACTACATTAAAATATGGAGTAAATGTTTATTCAAACATGTTATAATAAATAATTCTTGCGGCGAGAGACTTTTTTCCACGGACGCTGCTTTTTACCTATATTGGTGGAACGGATAAAACTACTTAGTTGCTGCCGTCTAGAAATTAAAAAAAATACCTCTACAAAAAATAAGTTTTTAATGATAAGTTTGATAAGTTTATTTTTTTTCAAATTCCATAAGGCCACATGGCCCGTGTGGATACACAATACAATATATATATATGGCAAGACAGTGTACAAAAATAAATTTCAAACAAGTTTTAAACAACAACGGAGAAGGTTTACATTCATTTGCATGTTGAAATATCTTAGTATATTAATAATCCATTTCTAATAATATCTAAATGTTTACAAAATTATGTATGTGTTGTATTCTATAAACTACCCCTGCACTTCCTTGTCACAAAATAACTATGTGTGTTAGATATATGAGTCCTTACATACTAGTCATATCCTGATCTTGTCAAAACGAAACACAAGACCAACATAAATTATGAGTCTTTAATATTAGTTTAGATAGGAATTTGCATACTGTAAGTATCCTGATCTTATCGAAAACGAAACACAAGATCAACATACAGCTTGAAGAGAGATATTCTTTAAATGCTCGAAAACTAATGCTGAGTTAAAAAGAATGCAACAATATTACTCTGTAAAGTATAGTCGTATGAATTACATCGTGACACTAAATTATTATTCTGAAGAAGAGTCGTGGAGTAATTTTTTGAAAACTTTAAAATTTGCTATCATGTATATATGTAATCATATACATATACACATACATATACATACATACACATATATACATACAAAATAAATATACTATAAAAGTTACACTTATTGACATCACGAAGATTGATTACGATTTGTATACAACTTCTCTTTTCTAATTTCAAAAGCGCTATGCACATATTTACCAAACTTACGTGCTACACAAATGTTTTCCGTATTTAATAAGTCTATGAGTTTTAACATATTTGGTCTTTTCCAATAGTAAGTAGGTAAAACCTTCCGACCAACTATCTGGGAAGTACCCGTGTTCAAAATTTTTATTAAATAAACATGTTAAGGGTGAAACAAGTATATTTTTACCATGAATAAAAAATTCATTTAAAAGAAAATCCGGACCACCACTTTTACCCGATTTAAGCTGGTGTATAGCCTTAATAATATCATCTTCGGTAAATTTTACATTTAACTCATCAAACATAACGCTAAATTCATTTTTCTCATATCTATCAATAAAATACAAAATATCATCATCAGGCGTATAAAATTGGCTTTGTGGGTTGTTTACATATTTATTTCGTACATAAATAATTATTCCACCAGACGCCCTTTTACTGTTTTGTTTAATCTCATTTCTATTTAAAACGAAAAATTCGAAATTGTCAACATTTAAGTCAGATGACTCATCTGTCCATGTTTCACTGAATAAAACAATGTCATTATTTTCAAAGATATTTCTAACTTCCGGCGAATTTAATTTATTTGTCCTTTTTGTAGCGATACCCTGTATATTAAGTAGCACAAACCGTAGTGGTACCTTCTCCTGCACATACTATTGACCTAATTGTTTATCGTTCTTGCTCGTGCTGTCATTTCTATTAATAGAAACTGGGGAAATCCTGTTTTGTCTTCTGTATGGACTGGCCGACTCGACACGCTTTTCTGACCTAGACGCCGCACGAATATTTCGTGCACGCCCCCTCTCAGGTAAAACTCGTTTATCGCCGCTATTTACTGGCGTGTTATTGTTTGTTATTGATGACCTAGATGTAACAGCTCCATATTTGGGTGATGTGACACTGGCGTATGTTTCTACGGATTGTGTATCTAGGTTAAAGTACACTGCAGGCATATCTGACTGATTTTGAGCAGAATTTTCACTGTTTTTATTGTTCGTAGTTTGATGTGATTGTGATTTGTTATTGTTTTGATTTGTGTGTGATTCAGATTGGTGAACATTTGGATTACCGTGACTATACATTGGTTGGCTGTGTATTGTGTTCGGACATGTAGAATTGTTTACAGTGTTACCGCATGTGCTATTCATTTGAGAAATAGGATTTTGTTCTTTTTGTGAGGATAATGGGATACTATACTGAGGGCCATTAAATGAGTCATTTAATGCAGGTAAGTCGCATGTATTGTATTGTCTTTGCATGACGTCACCAGTTTGTTGTTGGCTAAATGCGATTGTATCCATGTGTTCCGGTCCTTTTCCATTTTGGGGATCATGCTGACTCTGATACGATGGCTCGGCTAACTGACTTGTTATTTGGTCGTTCAGTCTACCAATGTGTTCGATACTTGACAACCTACTAGCATTTATATATCGTTGCCATTCAGGCATTTCATCATGCACAAGCCTACCATCCTGTATTAATTTAGCTGGGTAAACGATTGTTACTTTTGACCTAGGATTTTCCTGTTTGCACTGTTTATATCTAGGCCACAGGCGAGATCGGGCCTGCTGGATCTCTCTTGGTAGGTCAACACTGATTGAAAATTGGGTATCTTTCAACAATTTCGCTTTACTCAAGATGTACTCAGTATCACAATAGTCTCTAAAATTTACCACTATTGGTCTGCTTTGATATCTTTTCATGCGATCTTTTGCACCGATCCTGTGCGCTCTTGAAATATACACATCTCTTGAGTCAATATCGAGATTATTTTCCAGGAAGTTTCGTATAATGTTCGGACAGTTCTCACCTACATTTTCAACAATACCTCGAAAAATCAAATTATTCCTCCTAGATCTTGCTTCTATATCTATTGACTTGTAGGCTAGGGTTTTCATGAATTCTGTTTGATTGTTTGTGTTATCAATAACTTGGTTAACTTTTATGCCAATATTTTCTACTGACCTGTGTAATGCCATAATACCTCTGCAACTTTCAGCCTGTTCATTTCTCACAAAACGTAACTCGTCAAATATATGTATTAACTTATCGTCATATGAACTTTCCACAAAATTTTGTCTTGTGATATCTGATGAGCGATCCATTTTCAAATTTTCACTTTCCCGCTCTTGCAAAAATTCAAATCGATTCTGAACAGATACACCATATAACTCATTTGTTGTCATATTTCACAACGAAAACATCTATTATATACTCCACTTTAGAAACAACATATATTCCGGTAAATAAGCAACTAAAATACTCTGAATTCCGTCTAAAATTTCAAATAATCAGCTTTTTTTTTAACAGCTCAAAATATCCGTCAACACTGTCCGCCATATTTAATTACATTTAATACGGGTTTTAGACACATTAATTTTTTTTAAAATAAACGTTTAAAAAGCCATGTCGAAAACAATGTATTTAACATTATTTAAGCTGTATATGAAATATTAATATTGATTTCAGTATCGTTTAACTCACTATAAACCCACATTTTATAATTACATTGCAGACAAGAATTTTATTATGTTAAGTAGTAAGAATGGTAGACAATCGGGAATAAAGCCTGATAGGGTAGCAAGAGTTATTTTTCTTGCTTCCCCTTCTTTCCGGAAATAACGCAAAAGAGTTAGAAAGGATTTTGTACTATATTTTTTCAAATGTCCTGCGCACAACTTTATCAGCTTTGCTCACCAAGTCAAAGACAGACATGTGGAAGCTTATTGTTTATACTTTCATAAAAAAATTATCAGAACAATAGGAAAATTTTGAGATTCGCGCAACAGCGATCTCAAAATTAGAAAAAAATGGTCATTTTTGAGCTAAAAATAGCACAAATTTCAAATTAATTTGACCGTGACCTGATTATGAGACGCATTAACCTGTTCATTTATCGGTACTGTACAAAATACGTGTACTTACAGTCACTTTTTGATGTAAACGGAGAACATATACGAATAAAATAAACATTTACAAAGTTGATCCTGTTAGTAAACGGATAAAATTTTATAACGGCTATGGGTTATAAAAATGATAACGTGTTTAAGTTACACCCCTGACTGTACTAGAAAGCGTAGTATTAACGACCTTCAAACTATTGCCCTAAGTTTGAAATTGGCGCGTTCTTTACTTATATCCTCTACAACCACAATAGCTAGATACATGTATATTGTGCATCAAACATAATCAATTTGAACTCAACCAGGTTTGTACATATTCAAGCTAAATGTTACAATTGGTCAAAACACCAGGGTATAATTGTTATAACTTTACGTTTATTATTTATTTATTTATTAAGTTATTCTCAACCCTGAACCAGTAAAGATATTTTGCATGTAACTTCGGATTGACTGCTACAATGGTTACTCAAAATATAGCATTTTTGTAAAATTAATCCCCTCCTGGCGTCACTGGTTTTTCTAAAAAAAAATGTTGTACAAATATCGGCTCTGATCCCGCTCAAGGTAGAGCTTTGATATTTAGCACGAAACAGTTTCGGAAGACCTTTACCAAGTTTGCTCATTCCATAGCGGTTTGATAACCCTGCGTAAGGAGATTCATTTGTTTTCCATTAACATTGAATATATAATGTAGTGAACCATGATAATCTTCACCTCTAAACCCAGAAATAGTAGTTCTTAGATATTTGGTATGAAATATCGTCTAATGGATCTCTATTAAGCTTGTTGAAAATTTGGCCACTGAGAAACTGATGTTTTGGAAGAAAGATTATCATATCAACCGTTGATTTTCTATGGCAATCATTGACTTCTGTAGTAGCAATATTATTTCTATCGCAAACATTACTTTTAAATAACCATTCACTACCCATTGCAGTCAGGGAATTTGGCAGTGGCTGTTGACTATTCTAAGTTAACAAACAATTTGTGACCTTTCTTGGTATCTAGCGACGTAACTGACTAACCAATAACTTCCGTAGCTACAATTGTCATTTCAAATTCAGTACCAACAATTGTTTTTTTTAACAACCAGTTTTCATACATTACATGTATTTAGAGCCGAAAAAGGTGAGTGATATTTGAGGTATCATGAATCGGTTATTGATTTTCATGATTTTTTGTTTAAAGATCACAATCTCACGATTATTGGCAAACCAATGATGCAATCAAATTTGCCTGAACGACTTATTCGCGAAGCATATTTCACCTGTGAACATAGCAAAGAGTGGATATCTACATTAGCTAAATGTGATAACGTCATAGATTGTCTCGATGCTTCAGACGAAGTCAATTGTTCTCACGACAAAATTGGTATTTTGTCTTTTAAATTTACACTTTTACATTAAATTTCCCGTTTACTTTCTGAATTTTGCAAACGAACAGTTTGTTTATGCGATGTTACTTTTACGCACAAACTTAAAATAAATGAATATGTTTAAAAACAAATAATTGGTAGACAGGTGCATTGTAGTTAATCTGTTTTGTTGTATGCTATCTTTTAAACAGAGTTAATTATTTAATTTATTCCGATATAAACTATATTTATAAATATAATTGTTTGATTTTGTTTGACTTAAGGGTTTTTTAACTTTTTGGTATTTAAGTAGTGACTTGGTGTTTATTTCTTTATTTACACAACCTCTGCTTCGTAAGGAATATTAAAATATTATGAAGTTAAACATGTCTGCTTATCAAGAAAAATGCGCTGCTATCAGAGGATGACATTTTTATGTGAACATGTATTTATTCTCATATGAATTATGTTGTACTATAACAATATTATCAATGAATACTATATATTAATCAGGATGTGATAAGAACGAATTCTCTTGTGATGACGGACATTGTATTAAATTAAGTCACGTGTGCGATTTTATATCTGACTGTGCGGACGGTACAGATGAAATATGTGGTAATTAGTAAAAATATAATTCAGAAAAATACTATTTTGAAATATTTTTTTACCTTGGCGTCCGATTGTAAATCGTTCATTTTACTTTTTTCTAAAACATTCAAGCTAGCATATGACAAATTTCTAGGGAGTTTATAACACATTTCTAGGGACACAGTAAATGGTTTTTATATTTGAAATTCGTATGTATATAATGTATATTGTTAAAGTTATTGATATTATTATTTTAAATACAAATGCTATATGACGAACATCATGATAACTAACGTTTTAAAAAATGAAGTGCGATCGATAATAATGATATTTTGGATAAGTCAAAAACTTACATTTCCTTTAGGGGTACATCGACAATGATAATTTTATTTAACAAATTGCGAAAGCAAAAACTATTCGAGAAACACGTAGTGAAATATTATTTCAAGAAAAGGTTAAAAACGAAAATTTATTTGTGTAACTAACTTACGAGTACAAATTCAGAATTCAAAACTTTACCTATTTGATTCTTTCATGTTTTACTTTTACAGTATATTGATCGTTTTAAAAACATTTGTAGAATACCAAAACTGTGATGAAAATGAATTTCTTTGTGATAATAAACAGTGCATTCAATCAAAAAAACACTGCAATGCTATACCTGACTGTTTGGATAATAGCGATGAAAAAAACTGTGGTTGGTATACGTATTATATAACTATACTAATTAACTTAAATATATATTAAACTCACCTTCGAATGAAATGTTTTTCATTGCAGATATTTATTGAAATCTTAAGAATTCCTACATAAGCTGTCTTATTAAAATAAAAGAACGTATTAACTGTGCATTGGAATCTGCATTTGTTACTACGAATAAGCTGGTTCTTTTATTATAAAAAATACCAGATTTTAAATGACACTATATTGTTCTAGTGTGTCCACTTACAGTGTGTAGGACATACACCGTTAAAGAGCTACTTTATGTGAAGTCAAAACAGGTTTGTTTTGTAATCACAAACAAATACCGCGCAGCAATAACCAATATTTTCAATTATCAATTTGAGCATAGTACTCTCATTGAAATACGATTTTTTTCTATTTAAAATGTATACCGATATCAATTACAACTGACACTGAATAATTAAGAATAACTCACCTGACTTAATTTCAATTAAACTGATAAAAAATCAAAAGGATGTGAACAGAGTAAAATGGAGAAAGATAACACCAAGGAAATATCTACTAAATTCAAATTTTTAAATTTTTACAAAACCATTATTCTACTGATAATTCCTGTAAATCATACGTATGTAAATCACTATTTATACTTGTTTGTTCATAAAAAAGGTAATGGTTGTTTAAATTTACATGATCCGTTCTTGTGGTTGAAGAGCTTAAGTGCCAGTCATTGGATTATTTTTGACACGAACAGGCACCTGAGAAGGACCACCGACGTTCCGTAAATTAGCTGGAAAGCTTACTGACATGAAGGAACCGAAAGTCCTTGTCGGGATGATTCGAACCCATAGAGGTGCGGGGAAAAACAGTTGTTGCAAATTAAAACATGAAGTAGCAGCAAACATAATGTTATACTTACTTATATTGTGTTTCATAGTCAAAATTCATTGAAATTGTTCATTTTAATACATGTATAATATATGTCACGAATACGATTATTACAAAAATGTGAATATTTTATTTGATCAAAGTTCAGAAACACATGTTATTTTACCATTAAAGAGTCTTGCAAGAATTCATTTTTGTGTTCTGGTGATACCAAATGTATTCCTCTTCGTCTGAAGTGTGATCAATACCCTGACTGTACGGACAGGAGTGATGAATTTGCTTGCCATTTAGAAATTCCAAAATCTGCTGATTTAAGCGATGAATATATTTCTCTGACAAGATGGAAAGGTGAGCAAATTTCTTATGACAAGTTATTGTATTCTCAAAGTTTTGAGTTATTATGAGACACTGTTTAAAGCAAAGATGACAAAAGCATGAGTGAACTTTACGAGCTACGAATGTCCTTTCAAATGCAATTTTGATAACTTAACCTTCCTTTCTGTCCCTTTTCTACATAACGCATTGTACAGCTTATGTATTGTAATTCATCCTTCTACGGATTGACCTTTCTTCTAATATCTTTCAAACTGAAAATTGTTTTAATTCGGTTGCGAAGCAATCAATTCTTAAATTATTTCGAATAAGACGCATGATTTACTGAAGAATACACAATTTATATTGTATTTTTTGTCCTAAATAAAAACAAAAGTAAATGTAAACATTCACGTACATAAGCTTAACACTTCGTGGCCCATTTTAATTCATTGCTTTATTCTAAAATATCTTTATTTACAATTTCTTTGAATGGACAAACAATGTTTTTTTATCTCTGTATGTAAATAAGGGACTACATTATTGTCTGATTTCCGGAACAAAAAATCATGAATCAGGTTTAAATTAGCTTGTGCCTCCATCTTAATGGGCACTGTTTTGCATCAATTTCAACAAAGCGCATCGATGTAAGTGTTCTTGCACTGCATTGTCATGAAACGTCTTTAGTGAAATTAATTCTCTACTTTAGAAACTATAACAAGTTCGTTTTGGAAAAAAAGTTTCTTTAAAAACAACTTTTATATATTGTTGATAAGACATGAAAGTCGATAAACCTGTTACAAATCTGACAAAAATAAAAAGCACACGTGTAACCTCGTTATACTTGACCAATAGATAAACCATGTTTATTTATGGATTTATAAATAATTTTTACATCATTTTTAAATGATAAAAAAAGCAAATCACTTTGCCTGTTTCCCGCATAGAGCATAAAACCACATTTTCACCACCACTACTCGTAAAAACTTAGGAAATAATACATGCAAACTTTTGACTTTTAAAAGTATGTTTCTTCTTTTTGAAATGAAAAAAGATAATAACTCAAACTGAAACCTTTCATCTAAGATTCCTGGTACAATTTTCGGTAACTTTCCTCTCGGCAATGGCTTAAGCCGTCCTATCGCAGCATCTTACGAGTATTAGTGCGGTTGTTATGGAATCGTCTTGACGTAACGTTTCCCTTTTATTTTAACGCGGGAAATCGTCAAAGAAACATTTTATTCGGCCCTTATCAAGGTATGAATTACACAGATATGTTGTTGTGTTTCACCATTCCTTTTCAGCAATTTCGCTATTGCGTTAACCTAACTAGCTCTTTGTCAGTTGTAGCGCTGTGTTCTTTCATTTTTTTTTCCATTTCAGTCTAATTAAAAGATAGTATGATTGTTGTCATAAATAAATGAGCAGTTTGATCTTTCTAACATTTCTTGTTTAGTCTTTTTCATTCCAATGTTTTTGACTATAAAGTAATTGTAGTGAAAAACGTTCTGATCAATATTATTTCTACTCACACACTAAAAATGTCAATAAATATAAACATTTCTTTGTTCGTATTAAAAACCCTCTATCTGAAGTACATAGTATGTCTTTAAACTGAATTTGGTTCACATTCATTATAAATAACCTTAATTTTATCCTGATGAAAGATTTGTTCCAGCAGGCAAAACATATCACACAAAAATCCTCATGAATAATTTAACAATAAATATTTCTTTATGAAGGCCTCTGTCATTTACTGTTAAGCTCTTTACTTTGATCATATAGTTTACAAAGCCTTTTAAAGCAACAATACAAACGCATTTTATTGATATTTTCATTTCTTATAATGTTTTCTTTTCATGAAATACTGAAATAATATCTCACATACACTAACGCTACAGATTTTATCCATATGAGTTAATAAATATTTTGACGAAACGGCACCAATCCGAAAGCAGCGTAATTATGTCATCCTAAATATATAACTCATTCGTAAACGCGCTACAAAGACGCCATGTCAAATATACAACATTTTTTCTTATTATTTCTTTTGTTTAATAATTCATATATCTTAGCAACAGTAGGGTGCACAATCTTAAAGCGTGATACAAAAATCTGCACCTGAAATATTTTCCACTTGAAAAAAATACATAAGTGATCTCCCTTGTTTAATCTTGTTAGAATCGAAATGATATTGGTCTTAGCGGTGTTTATCGGCTATTTAACACCAGTTTTGTCGTTTTGATTAAAAAAGTTAACCATTCAGGCCAACTTATTGTATTGGAAACATTACATAATGATTTGTAAGTAATGGTTTTCAAGTGCTCAAGGTGGGCCTTTGTGATACAATTTGTCGGACGTCCATCGTCTGTTAATGCATATGTGCGTCCGCTGTCAACTTATTTTACAAACGACCTCTTTTCAGTAACCAATTGGCCAAATCTATAAAAAACAAGAAATGTCAAACGACACATATGCCCCCCCCCCTCAAGCCTTCTAGTCCTTGACTCACATTATTGGTAATTTTGTTAGAGATACTTGTTTATTCCATGTGTTCAATTATGGAAAAAAGAAAAATAATGAAGACTTTGTGATAAATAGTTTATAATAATTATGAGACATTTAAATCCCCTGTGACCTAGACCTTTGACCAATCAGTATTAGAAATAGGAAGACTTTGTGCTAAATAGCTTTCAAGATAATGAGCGGAAACCATACTTACATTCAAGGCCCCTGTGACCTTAACCTTTGATCTAGTGACCCCAACATCAACAAGGATCATTTACTACTTATTTCAAATCACCATGTGAAATATGATGACTTTGTGATGAATACTTTTCAAAATAATCAGCGAAACCATGTGGTCTACTGACGAACAGACCGACAGACCGACATTAGCACAACAATATACCTCCTCTTCTTCAAAGGGGGGGGGGCGGGAGCATAAAAACTGCTGGGTTGTTTCTAGCATAAATTTCTACTTCTATTGTTCAAATGATTTTGCTCGACAATAGGTTTAAAAATAAATTTGTGAATAAATTCTTTAAAAATCTCTTCTCTGAGAGTGCAAGGCCTAAAGCTAACATATCGTATGTAGCATAATTTAATGAAATTCTACACACATTTATTACTTCTAGATCTGCAATCAAAATTTGCCCGGCCCCAGGTGTTATTGATTTCCGTTATATGTATAAAGTAAAAACTTTAAAATTACCTTATCCGAATTGACAAAGGGGCGAGAGGTTAGACTATTGACATTAAACATTGTATAGTGGACCACTACCAAATTTGTTCAAATTATAGCCCTGAGGTCAAAATTGGCTCCACCGCGAGGGTAATTGGTAATCATGATGTACATATATAGAAAAACCTTTAAAAGTCCTCTTTTCTCAAAATGTTGACATAGACTTTACATTTGTGTGTAACATCCTCGAATGAAACTCTACAAAAGATGTTGAACTTTTAGCCCTGTGGTCAAATAAAAATTGGCTCCACGCGGTCAATGATTTTCCTGGAGTACAGTTGGCCAGTCCCGCTGGTCATTGATTATTATTATGAACATATAGTGAAAGCTTTAAATGTCTTATTTTCTAAAAGTACTAGGCGTCGTTTTGTTGTGTTATTTCTCTTCTTTGAGAAAATCTACTGTTACCATGACCTATGTTTGGCCTTCAATTCGTCGGATGTCTTTCAAGAATTTTCTAGAATGTACTATAATAATTTGTGTTGAAAATGGATCTATTGTCAGTTAAATCTCCTGTAATATGACAAACATTGACAAAATATTGTCCAACACCGGTATATATATGTTTGTTGGAATACTTTCATTTTTTTCTACTATTGGATATCTTGAATACTCGTCTACTGCAATAAGTAAATAGTCCCAATTTACGAGCGGATCGCAAATGTCGGCCAAGGTATCGAAAGCTATTCACTCATACTTTAGCGCGGTTTTGTTTTGTTTTTTTAAATTCACTGACATGTTAAACACTATGAATATGTAACCGGCAATGTATTATTTTTACACATGTCTTATCTTTTGTTTTGTTCTATATCCCCTGTATATTTTTCAATTCGTTTCATCACATTTGTACATATTTTTCATCATATTTCTGTCCTACTTATTTCCATATTTTCCAATGTTATGCTATACCTGACTTTTTGGATGATAGCGATGAAGATATCTGTGGTTGGTATGCGATATTATATAACTATACTTATCAACTTAAAGATATACTATATACTATGTATGGGTATTTGCATTCGCTACTAAAAGTAAAGCTGGTTCTTTCTTTCATTAAAATCTGCCAGATTTTAAATGACACTATATTGTTCTTTTGTGTACACTTACAGTGTGTAGGATTTAAAACGTAACATATCTTCTGTGTTTGAAGTCAAAACAGGTTTGTTTTATACATGTATTAATAAAAAAGCCTCGTAGATATAACCAATATTTTCAATTATCTATTTGACTATAGTACATCTTCAGGAAATACGATATTTATTTTATAATATATACCAACATAATTACAAATCAAGACGAATTATTGAGACCTGACTTAATTTCAATTAAACTAATAAGAGAACTTTCAAACTTGCATCACTTTCAAAAATATTGAGAAAAGAAATATGGCATAAAACATTATGTTCTGGATGTGGAAAAATAATGGTTAAAGCACTTAACCATTTTGGTAGCCATATGTCACAGTGTTTTAAGCTATGGAATGTGTCCAAGACTCAAAGTCTAGGCCTACTGAAGCTCTACGGTTGAGTCCTGAGGTCCATTTCACACTTTCTCTCCTAAAAATGAACAATTCCATATCATTGCATTTAATCAGTCAGTAGTTTATAAAGAATTTAAAGACTGTTCAAAGTCGAAAGAAATTTTTTAAAGAAAAAAAGAGATACTGAAATCAGCAAAGTTGAAAACTTCATTACGTTATCTGGTTTTATCACCAATGATTCTAAAGATGACAAAGCAAATTGAATCGACATTCACAATAATGTTTCTGTTTGTTTTTTTTTTCTTTGTTTGTGTCTTCTTCTTCTTCTTCTTCTTCAGCACCCCGATTATTAATTCAGCGGTCCACTTTTTTAAAGATTTTACTCTTCTCTTTCAAATGCTGTTACTGTACCGACAAAGACATGGTTTATGGCAATGTTTGATGATACCATTATTATTTTTTTTGAAAGGAAATAAATAAAGTCAAATATGTGTTTAAGAATACTATTCGTACGCATTGTATGCCTTAGTAATTGTGATTGGATATTTTATGGATTACTCTTCTTTCTAAAATTTTTTAACTTAAAAAATTTTATTTCGTTGTGAAGCAATCGAGTCTTAAATGATTTTGAATTAAACGCATTATTTACTTCAGAATGACACAATTTATTTTCTAAATTTTAGTCCTGAATAAAAAAAACATGGACGTACAGCAGCTTAACACTACGTGGCCCATTTTAGATTTATGTTTTGTTGCAAAATATCCTTTTTCTTACATTTTGTTTAAATGGAAATACAACGTGTTCATGTCTTTCTATATAATACTAAATATAACACAAACGTTCTTCATCACCTCAAAACATTTCTATATAGAATAGAAAAAAATAGTTTTTAAGTACCATACAGTATGTTTTGAATCGTAGTAACCACCTTTTGCACTAGCCTTTGAACTATAAGTATAGTATCGGTCTTCATTTATTTCTTTTTTAATGGGAGAAACATTTTCCCGTACCCTATGGAGAAGATTTGTATATATATTTGTAGCCGAATAAGATTTCAAAAAGTAAAAAATCATGAGTTGAAGTAAGCAGGTCGTATGAACAATATATTTTATCTAAATGAACTTTAACAACTGATTTCATTTAACTGTTAACGTTTTTAAGGTCATTTAGATATGCAGAGACAGAGCATGTGTTATACATAGGAGTTGGGCGTATAACTGACAGGAACATACTACTTGGGTTGTTAATAGTGGGAATTAAGTAAAATATATCCGTCAGTTTTAACTAAGAAAAAAAAACATACCCGAGTACAAAATAATATTCAAAAAATAATTTCTTCTTTCAGATTATGGTATCAGTTTTGACTTTAAACCAATAGGAAAGGAATCGGGAAGAATGGCTGTTTCAATTGGTTATATTATAGTCAATATGGGACTTTCTTAAGAGGGGTTATTCATGTTTTTTTCGGGTAAGTTGAAGTTGGCATGAACTATAACTCTCCAATTTATCCCACGAACTGTGGTCTTGATGCTTGCATGGTGGATATGACTTTTAACGAAACGAATCAATTTAAATTTGCAGAAAAACATTGATTATTTGAATACTGTTAGGGTCTGATACTCGTCTATGCACTTGGAACTGTTCATAGTTGTACAATCGTTTT